AGATGTGCAATTCTTTTCCTACTTTGAATAATGTTTAATGCAGATAAATTATTTTCTCTTTCCATATACTATGGAGTGACATCACTCTGGATGACAGAACACGGATCCAGATTACATGGGCCAACTACACCTATGAACAATAAAATCCTGATTTACCAGCTGTGTTCCTCTTAGCAGGCCAGCTGCTTAGGGGAAGCAGCAGACTCATACAGAAATGCAGACCAGTCATTACAGAAAATTCTATGACAAGGAATCATGGTCTCTAGGATTTTTCTTATGGAAAGATGACAAAGAATTTAATGCAGGCTGCTCATACCACTGATCCTTAAGGAATGGATGGCTGGCAGAGGAAAGCAATGCCATTGCAGAGCAGCAGCAGACATATTATAATTGTAATTAAACATTTTTGTTACATATTGCAGGGTTGTAGGTCAAAGTCTTCCTCAAAAATCTTGAGATGAGCTAGTAAGTTCAGCTATAAAAAAGAGTGATGTTCCTCCTGAGCAGGTCAGAAAATTCATATCAAAGCAAGGCATAAAGTACTGCCATTTTATCCTTATTTACTCATCTTCAAATTAATGCATTGAGTGCCCAAAACACAAAATGATTCCTTGGAAAGAGTTCAGTTACAGTAAAGGTTATCACATTTTCTTATGTTTTCTTGCCAAATATTACTCAAGTATATGTTCACTGATTTAACAGAATTTCTTTTCAAAATAGGACTTGCAGAGCATCTTTAGAACTAATGAGGTAAGAAAATGTCAGATATAGGACTGTCACAAGAATACATATAACACATAATCCTAACCCATCTTCACCACTGCTATTAAAACTTGGAAGTTTCAAAACATCTGGTGATATTCTGAATGTCATAGCTTGTGAAAACTCTAGTATTTAAAAGGCTGACTTATGAAAGCCTGATATCTATAAATAAAAAGACATTTTCAGTGAATCAGGGGCTTCAGAAGGTATTACTGATCTTGCATCGGACACTCTGCAGCATTTCCAGGATATATACCCAAATTCTTGGCCTGAATTATTTTTGATGAAGACAGAGTCAGTAATCTCTCCTCTTATAATGTCTACATTAGGTTACTATAAATCACGGATTTATGACAAATGAGATAAACATTCCCAAAATACCCTTTGGCAAAATGCTTTTGGACTGCCATTTTGCCAGATTTTTATTTGTCTGCAAAATTGTCAGTCTATAGTGTACAGAGGCATCATTTAGGTTCTGTCATATTGCACAAAAATGCTTTGATGTGTAGCTCTTCCTATTTGTACAGGTTGTGCATATCAGTGAGTCTCCAACTTTTTTTGTATTTGGGCTGATGAACTGCCATGCAGAAAACTCTTAAAAGTCTGTAGGTTTTAGTATAATATTTCTGAAGCTTTTTATTCTGTCACAGGAATTGCCGCAAATAGGTAGCAGAATTCTGTAACCCTCCACTTCAAACTGTGCCTGCCCAAATTTAAAGATTTTTTTACAGGTTAAGATTACCAGTTTGGATTTATTTCTACATCAAAGTATTTATCTGATTCCTCAAAATAGGGTAAACCAAAATTTAAAAGCTGCAGTTAGTTTCTGAAGTTGAATTTATAATGTCCTATTACTTTATTACAAGGATACCACAACTCCCAGTGGAGCAATGCTACTGTTAAGATCTAATAAGGATGATGCCCAAATTGGCTTTGACTGCATAAACCAATACTAAAAACTGTTTTCACTTCTACATGCTGAAGCTTGCCAGATTTTATAAACCAAATATAAATTATTTCAGACAAACAGAAAGCAAATTATTAACAGTGAACTTCATTTTTACAAGGCAGAGCAGAAAAGAACAAGTGAGACTAATCTGAGGAACAATTTCGTAGCGTGTCAGAAGTATGATTTCTGTTAGAAATGCACAAATTATGCCATGCAGTGCTTATAAATTAACAAAAAAAGTATTATAAAAGTGAAGTCCTGCTGTGTCAAATATGCCACACAATTTTTGTTCTGATAATAGCTATTTAGGTTAGGGCGTGACTTTTCTCTGATATAGCTGTGCTAGTACAACCCCTAGTGTGGACACAGTTTACTGCCATGAAGGCATTATATTCATACAATTTATAAACCTTGTTCCTAAGCAGTAAAGTATTAAGTAATGCACTGTTATTTTAGCACAGCTACATCCACAATGGGAGGGCTGAGAGAGAAAAAGAGAGGGCAGTAGGTGATGCTACTTTACAACACACTGGGCCAGATGAACAGATGTGGTTTTTGTGTAGAGAAACTGTATGGTACATGTCTTTCCTCCCACCTCCCTCCAAAATCCTGATGTTAATCAGGATCATGATGGATGATATTACAAAACAGCTATTCAATTTAAATGGAAACATTGCTCATTGCTTCTTAATATTTAATTTAAGAAATATTCATATAAAATGTTAATAACAGGTAGTCGTAAGAAATACTGACATCTCGATACTAGTCCTAACCGAGCAATAAAGATAGGAAAAGAGATGTAAGTTAAAAGAGAATAAGAATATATACACTCTCTGTAAATTCCCTAAATGATGCAAGTTCATTCTTTAAGAGCTTTATAAATACCAGCATATGATAAATACATACCTGCATTTATTCGACATATATGTATGTGGTGATCCTAAATCATACATGTGGGGATTTTTGCCTATTCTGACACACCTGAATAATTTTAATCCCTTTTTAAAAGTCACTACATATAAACTAAAAAATATCTTCAAAACTAAAATTTATCCACACCACAATTAAAAATACAATTATTCCCCAAGAAACAGTAAACTTACTCTCAATATGAAACATGATTCTTTGCTTTTAAAACAGAAAAAAGCATCATTTAATACAGAATAGCAAGAAAATAGTCATACATTATTGTCTCTCTACTTAAAAAAAAAAAAAAAAAGCATTTATTATGAACAGATGGTGGCCAAGGAAGGTATCAGCTCTGTCTCTTAGCCAGAAGGTCAGGTCATGGCTGAGAGACCAAAGAACAATTACTATTTGCTATTCAGTGCCATATAAGATAAAACATTTCAGGTTTTTCTTCAAATACAAAGCTAGATGTGATTGAGCTGTTTTCATTTCATTTACATGAAATAGTTTGCAGTTACTTATTAACATTCGTTAAAATTTGATTTAAAAAAACCACAGCAACAACAACAGAACAAGGCAAAAATGAATGAACGCTCTTCTTGGGCTGCCTTTGAACATGTTAAATAATACTAGGACTTATACAGAGCTATCTGGGTTCCTAGAACCACAGCTATAAAACAGCTGCTAGATACTGAGTCTGAGAATTTCAAAATGGTTTGTTTTCCCTTTTTTTTAGGAATCAACAATCATATTTGAACAATATAATTACATAATTACTGAATTATCTAATCTTTATCTAATTATCTAATAATCTTTGCTGATAGGAACTCCCTCTCACATCACTTCACTTTACATCAAATTTTAAATCACCACATTTTGGTGCACTCATACCCACGCTGATTAAAATACCAGTATGTCAATACATGAGGTTAAAATATTTTGTTAAATTTTGCAATTTGTTCAAAAGGCAATCCTGAAGCAGGCTGGAGAACAGGATATAAAATCCAAGATACTTCTTCAAGTATCTTATTAAACACATCCTGTTTTATTTGTATGCCAAGATTATGCCAACTCTTTTTATCTGTGATATCTGTCAAGGCACAGACGACAAGCTTGTTTTTTGTTTCTCAGTGTCCTTAGGCCTAAAAGGATGCAGGAGTGAAAAAAAAAAACCCAAATAAAAAAATAACAACCCTGAAAAGAAAATGCTTTAAGACCTCTATTTTTCTGTGCTGTAGGAATTTCTGTACATGTTGAAGGATTATTTTCTCCAATAAGCTCCTCCTTTGGACTTTATTATCCTTTCATTCTAATTTGAATTAATAATTGCTTCCTGACTATGCTTGCACTTTATTAAGTAAACTTACTGTCCTATACAAAACTTTAGGGGAACTGATAAATAAAAATATAATTTTAGAAATACTGCATTTTTCCCTACATATATTTATACACAGGGAATGATGAGTTCAGTTATTTACAAGAAAAAGAATGATTCAAAACCTGTTGGATAGGCTGCCCTAATAACAAAATGCATATTAAAAAAATTATCCTCATGTGCATCTTATATACCTGTGTATTCAGAAGATATCCATTCATGTGCAAATCACAACTATGAAGGAATAACTGAAAGTTTGAAGTCCTAGAGAAAAAATGGATAGAACTTCAACAAAAAGGGCACTTCAAAAGATACAGATTACACCTGTTCAAGCTGTTTGCCAAGTATGTTGCAGGTTACTCTAATAATCCTTCTTACTGCATGGGATGTTTTCTCAGAGACTACCTGTAAGGCATACATTGGTTTTTGTATTATTATAAAACCCAGTTTTAGATAAGCAATAGTTAATGCCAAGTGGAATTTTTCTACAGTTACTTTTTTCTAGAAGGTTACTTTTGTTTTGGTTTTGTTTTTTTTTTAAACTTCTATGAATCCCAGCATTCATTAACCTTGAATCTTCAGAGAAATTGGAAGATAAATTATTTTCATTTTTGGTATCATTATGTTATGCTTAAAGTCTTTAATGTTCTGTCAGGCTGCATATGTAGGTAATTATGTGTGGATTTATTTGTGAGAAAAAGTGTATAAACATATGTATACAGTACATACAATTTAAGTACTTCGTATGAATACATATGATAGAGTAATTCTATATGAAAGCATGGGATGAGTAATACGCAAAACTGAACATACTAGGGCTGAAAACAAGATTAAGACAACCAAGAGGTATTTATTTAGCAGTAATAGCTGGCTTTTTGCCATTAATTTAGAAACCATTTAACACTAATAAATGACCACTATTAGAAAAATGAATCATTCCAGCTTCTGAAATAACCCTACTTAGGCTACTAGTAACTGCAAAGTTATAGCAGTATTGTCTCTTACCTGGTCCTTAATTTCAAGCTCCCTTATAGTTTTTGTTCTGTACTCTCTGAGCTCCTTTTCTGCCTCATCCTTCTTCATTTTGGTTTGATTCAACTGATAGCGCATTTCTCCACACACCTGTTAGATTACACAGACAACATGATCTGTAGCTTGAAGGGTAGACCAGGGTTTGCAATTAGATCTTTTGGTGCCCTCTACAGGTCATTGAAATGCAACATATTTTAAATTTACAGATATCTTAAGGCTACTGTGGTAAATGTTTTTGTATAAAAAGGTGGATCTGAATATGAACTGCTACATGAATTCTCTATATAGTCACTAACTTTGAAATATGCAGTGTCTTCTAGATTCAAATATATTTGAGTCAAAATTTTGCTAGGTATAAATATTTATGTTGTAAATATATGCCACTAAATACAGTTAAAATACAGTTGCAGGTTTTATATTCTTCTTCTATTCTCTGTAAAATCCCAAGAAAATCTATGTCAACACTTGAAAACCTAGAAGCAAAGGATGGATCGCACTCCTACGTAAGGGTGTATTTTCTTAACTTGCCAATTTTTCACTGTTAAGAAAGAAATTTAGATGTTACTACAATAATTTTCAAAGTTTGATCAGAGCTTTACAGAATTATGGCAAACTGAATATAAATTTTTTAGAAAACAATTTAAATATAATTTAAATATAGCCATAGTCCAGAAGAAATGGATCAAAGCAACATTTAAAGAAATCACTTCCCCACAGGACAACTATTCTCTGCTGTTGGAGTGTTTGTCATATTGCCTCCTCAGTCCTTTCCACCTGAAGGCTGGTCATCTTCAGAGGGTCTGGGGAGGGGTTAGGAAAAAGTGAAAAAGAAACAAAAAAAGAACAAAACAAAATAAAAAAATTCCTCCCATATAACTTTCTTTACTGCTATGCAGGGATTTCTTCAGTTTCTCAATCCCCTTTTTGTGCCATCACCTCCAGTTTGTGCCTGTTCATGCCACCTTAATTAACCAAACATAAATACATGCACATTCCCTAATGAGAATGCAAATGTGTTTATTCACAGCTCCTCTTAGACAACTTTCTTTCCAACTCACTCTGTTTTCCTGCCTTGCTCATATTCTTTCAGCAGACTTGCTTCCTAAATGTGCACCCTTTAATTTGCTGCTACAATCCTCTGTGCTTCTCAAAAACGCTCTCACATATTCTACAACCCAAACTAATTTCTGTTTTCAGTCTTATACCTCTTCTCATTTTCACTATTTTTTTCTCCTTCTTCTTAAAAAAAAGTTAGGGAAAAAGTAAATATGCATACTACAATGAAATCACTCTAGGAAAAAATGAAGCCAACTGTCGTAACTTTTAAGAAGTAGCATGACTTATAAATGCAAAGGACAGCCTGTGAATTTAGCCACTGCAAATAATGCAAAGCAGCAAACACTCTAAAGAATGGTAAATTTCTAAAGTGTTTTTTTAAACACTAAAATATCATATGCAACTAAAAAAATCATAATATGCAACTGCATAGCTTGCAAACCCTGTCTCTTTCTACCTCTTCCTTCCTTTACATGAAGAATGTAACAAAATGCAATATGTCACTTCCTCCAAGTAAAATTAAAGAAATACAGCAATCCTCGCCTTCAGCTTTTCCATTGAGTGTATAAAGTGAATAACACAGAAGAATCAGCAGATGGTGCTGTCCTAATAACAGATTTTTCAGCCTCCTCAGGAATGAAGGAAATTTTTCTCCCTCTGACTTCTGGTACATGAGGAAAAAAATATTTCAGCTAAAACTCAAAACAAAAGTGTTGCTATTTGTTGTTTTTAATAATGGCAAACTCAGTTTGGAAACAAGGAGTCAGATTCATAACAGACAAAGATGTCGCTTACATGGCCAATGGAAAATGTCAGGGTGATCCACATAGTCCTGCCAGTTCAATGGTCAGAGGGTTCCTTCAGGATTTTTAGTACAGTGACACAAATGAAGCCTTCCAATCTCTCAGGATAGTGCAATTAAAAGAGTATAGGCTATTGCAAGGTGACCACCTATTCAACTTCATACTGATTAACCTTAACTGAAGCAGGGACGAACCGCAGCATCACTCTCCTGAGAGACAGCTTCAAATCAGCAGGCTACAAAATTGTCCTTTTCAGACCAATGAATATTTATACCTACTACCTGGTCTTCGCCCCTGTAAGTGGTGCTAGTCATCTGTAAACACAGCCTGAAAGACCAAAAGTGTGTTTCAGAAATGGTAAATCAAACCATTCTGACATTCTTAAAATACTCATTCATCTGAAATGGAATTAAAATTTCTAGTAAGTTGCAATGAGTGTTTGCTGTGAATTTTCTGCAATACTTTCACCTATTACTACCAGCTGGGGAAGCAGGGGAAGACAGAAACTGTTGAAAACCTCTCCAGTAATCTCTGGAGGCCTAAAGAACTAATTGTTAGCCAAAACCTTGCACTTAACAGCTGGGGAGGTAGGATGGGCCCTAAAGATTATTGGTAAGATATATAAACATTTCAAGAGGCTGTAACAAAGTGTTTTTTCATTCTTATGTTAACCCATATTAAGGCTCTAATAGATTGAGAAATGTGCAAAATAAAGAACCCAAAAGTGATATACCTACACTAGAGAGATGTTAAGCTATAATTCTTAGTTATAAGAAAGATTTCTTTGTGAGGGACATACAATCAATGTTAATGAATAAAGCAGTATACTACACAAAGTCTAAAGGAAAGTATTTGACAGTGATTTGATACAGCTCCTTTTATTTTAGCACTGCATGTCCCAGAGGTAGTCATTAAGGACACTGTTGAGTACTATGTTGTCTCATTCAGAACGAATGCAATTTTTACTGAATTTTTAAATAGTTTTAAATAGTATTAAATAGTGATCTGCATAGATTGCAAAGTAGAAGAGTTAGCTTTTGCACGATAAGGTGACTAGGCAGGTTGAAAAAGTTATCTTTTTACTCCTACAGCTGTGCCTGTGGGATAGTCAGATGAAGTCTATATTTATCACACGTTCTTTACCAAAACAGAAAAACGGAGAAAGAAAAAATTCTCATCTTTCAGGTCACAATGATAGGGAAAACCAAGCTCAATACTCATTTATAAATGTGCTTACCTTATTCATCTCCATTTCATGAGATGCAAGTTGATCCTGTGATTGTTCTAACTGGTTAACTAGAGAGTTCTTTTCACTTGTAGTTTTCTTTATTTGAGCCTCCAAAATGGCCACATTCTCAGACAAGGCTGTCACCTGCAAAAAGTCCAAGGACACTGTAATGACAATTTGACCAACCACAGACCTAAATCTTGTGGGACACTCTCCTCAAAAGCAACCATATGTAGACAAAATGCATAGAATTAAAAATACAATAAAAAATAAGCATGTACAATAAAATTTATCAGGTATTATTAATAATAGAATATGGTTAAATTATTTTAACAATAGGTTCGTAATTTTGAATTAATTTATGACACAGTAGTTTATTTGAAACTTTTCATCAACTGGACTAGTCTCCAGGAATTTAAAGTATGAACAAAGTGTCAAAAGCAGCTGGCTGCATTAGTTTTGCAGCTGTAAGAGTACTATTGAACACCTTCTTATGCATCCTTATGTAGACTGTTTTAAACCAAATCATGTTCTCCCAGCTAAAGAAAACTCTCATTGCAACCACAGACTTCAAATTAATTTTCAATTTCAGAAAACATTTCAGCATATAGATCAAAGCATGATGTCGTACAAAACCCATATAAAACCAGTATATTAAAAATTCTAATGTAATCCAGATAAAGTTTTGCTGAATGGTAGAAAAATGTAACAATAAAACAGAGATAGTGAACCTTCAGCTATTTAGCCCTGAAGCTTACTAATATAAGTGGAAATAATGGTGTCTGACAGTTCTAGGTTAACTTGCAGAAATTCAAAGCCAAATCCAGAGGATTATATATTCATAACTATTTTTCACTCCTTATACCTCCACCTGATTTACGTATCATGCTAATTCTCCCATTCAAACAAATAATTTCATAAAGTGAGTGATAAAATATTCATATGAAGGTTGACTTGATGCACAGTATACCATTTCTACTATCTCATTAATCCTGAAACATAAAAGTAGCTAATAATATGTAGGTGTGTATCATTAATATAGACCATAGCTTTCTACCAAATCATCCCATATCTTTAATTACCAAGCATGATGTCATCATAGTGTCACTATATGTTTCTGATGTGTATTCAGGATTTTAAAAAAGGACTACAACTACTCAAAGTGGGAATCAGTTTCAGTAAAACACATCTCAGTGAGTGATGAAATTTAAAGTAATGTGATGACACGGAGTGAAACATTCTACCAAAAAAAAGTATGAAATGCTTATCTAATAGGCTGTATTTTGGAGTGAATACTCTGCTCTAAAGCAACTCTGTAGCTAAATAATTGATTTCATAAGAGGGATAACATGATAGACAGCAGGGAGTCAAACAAGGAATTGCTTAATAATGTTTCACTGTCTCCAGTGTAAGTTTATTTTTTTTAATTTCAGTTTCCCTGGCAACAGATTTCTGATGATCAGTTCACTTACTTAAATAACACTTAGTCTCTATCACTGTGCTTAATTCCTGTTTTTATATCTGGAACTGGAGTCAAAGGCTTTGACTTCCTGTAGCAGCTTAAGATATTATTCCACCATCTCATAATACCAGAAATATCACCAGATCATCTTGGCTCCCTGTTTATGTTAGTGGCTTTCCAGTCATTTTACAAGCAACAACACTGCTAAAGAACGTTCCCCCCTTTTTTTTTAAACACACTTAACTAGTTTATCCTGTTCAGCTCTCTGAATTTTTAGAAATAAGCCATACAGTTTATAAAAGAGCCCCAAAATATGGAAAAAGCTTACAGTCAGCAGAGAAATTCACTCTATTGTTTCCAAATCTCCACTAGAAAATAGGTGAAGAGGTTGCATGTCAAGCAAGCATGAAAACCACTAATTCATGAAGTATTTCTCTCTCTACATTTTCTTTCCTTTTCAATCACCTTAGAAGTGCCTTCTCTATCACGTCTCTCAGGCTTACTGCTGTTAGCATGAGGTTTCCTCTGTAGACTCCACTGGGCAGAAAATCCTTATGTTTTATACTCAAATTGAACTAGCATCCAGAAAAGGTTATCAAGACTACCACAATGGTCACAGCATAAATGGTAAGACAGATTCTGTCTCAGAGAGTTTATAAACATCAGTAAAAGTGAGAAAAGAGATTCCAACACATTTCTGCAGGTGGGAAAACTAAGCATATGATAAGATCACTCTGAAATTTTGATACCATAACATTAATGTATATGTAAGATCAAAGTAGCAAAAAATCCTAAATTTGACATGTGCTAACTTCTCAATGTTTGACTTGCCAAGTTAAATAATAATTTTTATAAAAGAGATACGTACAAACCTTGCGTCACACATTACTTAACCCTTTCCTACTTCGACAGTGTGCATCAGAAAATATTATGCAAACTAAAATAAAGGGCATAACATAAATAACCTAGTATGTACATAGTGACATAGCATAAAACCCAGTCATTCAAATTCAAAGGATCACTTATCTACCACTGCTTTAAAACAATGGTAGAAGTGACTTAGTGAGCCCTCAAATCCAAAACCGAAAATGAACGACAAGCAAACAGAAAGTTTAAAGAGGATGATGCGCTCATTGTAACACATAAACAGGAAAAGAACCAATTCATACCATTGCTGCCAAGTCCTCCCTTTCTTTCTTCATTTCTTCCCGCACTGCTTCTTTTTCATTAGCCCTCTCATTTAGCTGGGCAGCCAACTCCCTTTCAAGACAATTCTTCTGCCGTTCCACCTCACTTTTCAGCTGCTCACAGTGGACTAGAGCCTAAAAAAACCCAACTGTTTTCTTAAGTGGAAGAAAATGAAAATTTTTGAACAAATACAGTATTTATCTAATGCTGTCAGAGAAACCAATTTGCTAGAAGAAAGATAATATTTTTATTTTTTATGTAGTTATTATTATGTTTATACATACCCTATTGTGTTAACATCTAAAATAGGACTAAGAAAATGAAAATAGATGTATATGTTTGTATGTATATACATGTCCTACTGTATATACATACAAATCTAATTGCTTTTAAGAGTTATGGCAAAGACAGAAGCATTTTCCAAATAAGTAGCTGTTCTTCTAAAAACTATGATTATTTGCCTTGCATTTAAAATTCTTGAATGCACATCACTAGAATCAGCCTCCAATATTTGACTCCTTGCAAATACTGTGGTTACTGCCTAAGTGCATAACTTAGGAAAAAGATATGGAAAAATTAATTAAATGTATGCACTTTCACCTATCCTCCCCCTGAAGTGAATTACTGAGTGCAGAACACTAAGAAGAAACCTGAAAGCAGTAAGTAAAGATAAATACAACTTTTAAAACTTTTTTAAGTTTCAGGTTTGTAAAAAATTAATTCTACTAAAAACCTCATAAAAGCACTGGTCAATTTGAGGTGCTAAAACAACAGGTTATGGATGTGTTTTCTATCAAAAAAGAAGAAACATAAGTTGAAGAACACTCTCAAAACACTATCTTCTAAAAAAGCTAGGGGAAAAAATATATTTATCAATGTTTGCTGCCGTATTTCTGCCAAAGTGATAGAATGAATGTTACGTCAGTTTAAATCAGAAATACCCTCCTCTATTAAAAGTAAATCCAAGTATTCAAAGCACCCTAAAGGCAGCTATGCTAGCCGACAAGTAAACTAGATCTCATTTCATCGTTTTGCTATTCAGATATTCAGGATTTGATATTTGATATTTGATATTCAGGATATCCTGTTTCAAAGAAGCTAGAGTAACCTCCTTTTAGGAATCCTACTGTAATTAACTGTATTTTTCTTTTACTCGAAGCCAATCCCCTGCATTCAATTTTCATGGCATTGGGCTGTTCATGAGGGAAGCAAGTTAAGCCATAATTTTTGAAAAAATGCTCTAACGGTCTCCATTAGTTTTATGTCAATTCTGTGAGACTCTCCACAGGATCCCTTTTCATATCACCAGTCTACCTTGGTGAAGTACCATTGTTTTGACTATACAGTGAGCAATCAAACAATTATTCGTTTATGGCATTTATGTTGAAAATACATTCCTGATTTTCCTTCAGCTATGTAAAATCAACCTTAACAGACCTCCTCCTTGCCCTACACAACAGGCGAGAGGCCACAAACTACAGAGACAACCAAAAGACAAAAAGAAATGGTGGTTTTAAATGATAAGCACCAGAGACTGGACTTTTGATCAACAAAATCATGAAACCGCAATTGTAGGATTTGGAAGCTTAATGTGTTAACCCCTCACTTTTCTTATACGGACTGTTCTACTGGATTACATGCTAATTATCAACAAAAACAGTGCTGAAGAGTAGAATAGGACTGGGAAAAAAAAGACTGTAGTTACCAAAACATACCAGTACATGTAAAAATGCTAAATTAATGCATCATAAGTAAAAAATTTCTTCCTGTTCCTTCATATTAAAAAAGTTTTTAACTATCAAAAAAATCAGACTACTATTTTGACTTGTACACAAGCAGATAGCACTTCACAAGACCCTACACACACGTACACTTCTCTTGCAGCACTGGATGAATAATACCAATTTGATCAACAGAGCATTTATATAAATCTTGTATGCATTTAGTTCAAAAAAACAAAACAAAACAACACTCTCTCAATTCCATAGTAATTCACTAATAATACAGTAGATGTCACTACCTATCAAGAAAATAATTTAGGTCAATATAGACTGTGTATAGAACTAGAGCTAACACAAGCATTAGATCAAAACTGGTTTTAAGATTATAATTTACATAACACCAAAAGCTTCCTGCAGGTAAAATTAGACAGGACTTCTCATCTTCAAAGAGCTCTGATAATTAATCAGTTCTTGCACTGCTCTTATCTGAGGCAAAAAAGAGTTGTTTGTAAGCATTTTAACTATTCTTTCCAGAGTATGTCAGACATACGATGAGAAAATTATCCTGTTACATGTTATGAATGCCTTTGAAAATTCTTTGAATTTATATCCTCTAGCTGTGAAGCTATATCAGAATTTAAAAATTCAACACTCCCTACAGTATTGACGAAAATTCAAGAACTCAAATACAGAGTTCATGTTACTGCTCAGAAACAGTCACACAGTGCAATTGTTTTAAATCTACTACATCATATCGACATATGACAAAGGTCTAACACATACTTGTTCATTAGCATGAAAACTAACATTTGCAGTAAAACTGAACACTGAAAAGCTCTAATTTCTGGATTAATTTACCTTTATTTTTTCCAAATTGGCCTCTTCTGCCATTTGCACAGCATGTTCAACTTGCTTACAAGCATCAGATTCTCTTTGCTGCATCTCTTTCATGTTTTGTCGCAGTGAAACAAGTGCATCCATCAAGTCATCTCTTTCCCTGCATATAAAGAAAAACAAGATATTTCCTCTATATCTTAAGAGAAAAAAACCTAACACCATGTATATAAAATATAAAATATTAACAGATATAACACATAAGGATGGTGGTAAGTGAAGCAAGACTAAAACTCATGGGTTAAGAGTGAAAGACAACACATACTGCTAGCTTAGCAGATATTGAAAATATCACTTGCTTGATGACCTGTCCTTCACTTCAGAAGGATGGACCATTAGAGAAAATGCCAATAATGAGAGTAGGTCTCAAGTCATTAATGTACTGAAGGTGAGCGCATTCTGTTGGCATTACAAAATGGGGATCCCATGCTAAAAAAAAAAAAAAATAAAAGCATGTTTCTGAAAAAGCAGATTGATGCAATATGGAATTACACTGTCATTAAAGGTAAAAAAGGGGAAAAATATTAAAAGAAAGGATTAAGTTCAACAAGTAATTCATATCACTAAGTATATAAAATGAAAATCTGTATCCCTTTGCCACAAACTGGAACTAAACTAATCAATAAGCCACCTTGATTCTACATCTCCTATGAATTTTGTTAACAAAGAAACTAAGATCTATACTAAACAGTGAAGTAGAGGTGGTAAAACTGTAATACTTAACTTCACCTTTTCATTATTTTGTCATGTTAAAAACTTTTACATTAAGAGTTTTAACTATCTGTAGTTGACGTGCAACTTGAGATTCTGGCTGAAAACTGTTGTGTTTGGGTTTCGGTTCTTTCTTTTCTTGACATTGTGTGAAACGGTAACATATTTTTCTGTATTTATCAGAGAACTAACAGCCATATTTTGAAATTTAATTTCAAAAAGAATTGGACAAAGTTCTTTTGAAAATCCCTACTGAAATACCTTTGGTTTTAATAAACTGCATAACAAGTAGATGTAGCTTTTAGATTTTGTTAAACCTTGAATGAAATAATGCTTTAAGATAGATAAATAGGTTAGCTCAAATCTTTTCCTTTGAGCTGCCTTATAATACAAGAGGACAAGAATGTACTAATTTATAGTTTGTTCATATTTTCCAACATCTGTGACAAATAATTACTTTTCTTACAAATGTAGATTTTGAAAACTGACTTTTCAGCAACAGAACTTTTCCAGAAAATTCTTGGACTTGGTATTAGAAAAAAATATATAAATCCTGGCAATAGCCATCAAATGCATAGGGATAATATCCACTTGACAGACTACACATACTATAGACTATGTCCCTTCAGTCTCCTTGCTTCTAACTGACCCACTATTCCATCTCCAGTAGGCTCATTCTAAAACTTCAGAAATCCTAAGAAGCTTCAGACATCTGACAACAAATCAGTGGCTGTTTAACCAAGTTTGAGAAAGTTGCAGTGTCCTATCATTATTACTAGCAAGTAGAGAGGGAGAATTTTTTTCAAGGTGGTTGACTAGCAGAATTCCCATGAAAAAAAAATTTAATGCTGTTGGGGTTTCTGAATTTCATATATTCAGTCTGTATAGCTGTTTTTAAAAAAATATTTAAATAAAAGCTAGAATTAAAAAAAGGTTGCAGCAAATAATTTCATTTATTTTTATCCAATAGAACTTCTTTTCCATGACTTATTGTCAGGGAGGAACTACTACACATGTTTTTGGTTGGAAACGCATCCTACCCCAAGCACCTGACCTACTGTTGATGTATCTGAAAAGTTCCCCAAATGCAAGGAGAACAAAGTGGAGTCAAAAAAAATTCCAACTACAGAAAGATAAGGAACTTTTGCAGGAAATAATCAATCAAAATACATGGACTTCCACAATATTTGTGCTGACAGAGAGAAGGACTTTCCTGCCCAAAAAGTGCAGGAAAAAGACTATAAATAGCCTCATTATCTGGATAGCCAAAGGTACCATAATTACATGATAGTGACTAGCATTCTTTCCCAGTTGAAATAAGTAGAAAAACTGAATTATCCATTTCAAAATGCTCGGGACCTAAATTCATTGATTTTAGCATTACGACTTCAGCTTGGGAGTGTATTGTTCCAGAAGTGTACACCTCTCTATGAATGCAACCAAACGTATTGAGACTGAAATGGTTTAATGTAAGCATCCATACTTTCAGTGACAAAGTACATACCCCCCAAACCTACTTTGTTAGCCTTTCGATGGTCTGCACATGAACATTACAATGAGTCTGTGCAAGAACTGCCTCGTGTTGTGCACATTTCAGGCACATTCCACCAACCCGACTACAATTTGCAGCTGAAGCAAGTGACTTCTGCTGTTTCAGCCTTCCTTCCAAATCTTTGCACGTCTTCTGAGATTCTGAAAGGTCTTTTCTAGAAAGAAGAAATAAAAAGTATTATTTGTGAAATCAAACATTTCTACAAGTTATATTCACATTGAATATACTAAAAAGAACTGTAAGAATCTCTGTAATTATTTTCCACATTTCAGTAGGCTAAGAAAGACTTTAATAGCGAAATAACAGTTGAACTGCCCACTTAAAGTTATTAATAGAGAAAACAATATTATGTTAATTTGTTCCTTCCCCCTGTAGTATCAGAAAATAATTAGATTAAAAATTTGTAGGCTTAGATATTATCTGAACAGAGTATAAGACTCATTAGCAAGAAACACGACCAGTTGTATAAATATTTCAATATCCTAACAATTTTCTGTTGTTTTTATTAATAATATCACTAACTTCACATTTATTCTCTACTCTCTAGACAAGAATCCAGATCTATTCAGCACATTCATTCTGATCCAGTGATATACATGAACTTGAGGTCAAACAAATGTGCAGAAAAACAGGCCAAGTTTTTCGCTTGTCTCCAAAATTTTTACCAGGTGCTCTGACAAATTTTCTCCAGAATTTCCAAGCATGTGTCAGGCTGGGGAGATTGCAAGCAGTAGGAATACTAACATCAGGAAGTTCCAGACAAACGTACACTGTGCATATATAGATCAATTTGACAAATTGTGCAATGAATCCAAAGCTTTTGGTTTGTTATGCAGGCCATCTGGGCAGCACACACATAGGAAGTCTGACACATTCTGGTTGCATCGGATTTACTGTGCACATGATATATACACTGCATGGATGCTTATTTCCATCTGGAAAATCTTCTGTGCACTTTTTCCAATTTTAGTAGCTGGTCTATTAAATATAATCCACTATAACCTGAACAGAATTTGCTCTGCATATATCCTTAGACAGTCATGGTGCAACAGACCTATTGTTGGAAAGCCTTGGAAAGAAATCAGCAAGTCCTATGTAAATTCATGCTTGAAGTTAAAGGCAGTTATTATATTACTGAAAGTGATATAATTTCTCACTTCAATTAAAATTTAGCTTTCCAGAACTTACAGTTTGAAAGAGCATGCCTCTTAGGAGAAACAAATCAAGAGGCTGAATAATGTACTTGAGGAAATTTTCAGACTACTTTAGCCTCCAATAATTATTTCTGAGTATACATAACACTTTAAGCCAAGTGGGGAAAAAAAATAAAAACAGCTGAAATTTAAGATCCTCATTTACATTCACTAACCAACTAGCTTTGCATGTTTCAGATTTCACCACTGCAGACAGTATTATTTGAACTTGTCTACCTACCATAACTCTTTTTACACAGACAGAAAAGCCTAGAGTTTTCAGATATATGAAACCACAATCTATTTAGGGAAAAGCATAAATAAACAGATTCAGTAGCAGTATCATCAATGTGGGTGTACAAGGGGAAGTTCAGTCCTGAAAACCATATCTTAAAGTGGTTGCCCCTTCCTCTGTTTTTTCATAATTTGCTACCTATTCAAACGTTGAATATTTTGAGGAGTACATGAGGACTTACATTCAAATGTTTTTGTGTTTAAAGATATGCAAGTTACACAACTGGAAATACTGCCTGAAAACCTCAAAATTATATTTTCCTGCTCCAAAATCATTATATGGTCTAAAACTAGTTTGATGCTTAAGATCTCTAAAATTTGCAATATAAAATATTAGTAGAAAATTGGTAATTATGGAAGGCCTCACACATGATACAATATTAACTGCTCTTTTTTTTCTTTGATTGGTGTACCTTAGCAGACATGATGTTTCTCTGAGGAAAGAGGGTGAAAAGGATAAAGACATCTTATATTGCTACTGTTACTATAAAGTAGTAGTACATTCAATTTTTTTGTTGCTACATTTATATTTGAGAAAACTTTCCATAAAACCAGCTTTCAGGGACACTGTCAGAAAACACAACATTCAGGCATTCAGGCATTCTCCTAGTTAAATTCAGATCAAGAGTGGTTCATGCTGTTATGCAGTGATAATTTATTAACAATCATTTTAAGGAAAAAGTAAACACTTCACTTTACCTTAAAGACTGTATTTGATCATCAAGGATATTGACTTTTTCTTGATAAAGAAGTTTTAGATTCTCCTGTAGAAAAGATGGGAGAAAAGAAGTGTCTTCTGCTTTTTTCATAATAGTCTTTACAAATAAACCTAGACTTCAGCCACATTCATTGTTTCCCCCCGAGGAAATAAACTTGTTGAAATACTAGTGGCAGAGAAACCTAAATATTTCACACTTCTGAACGTCTACAAAATGAACAACCTTCCCATTTTCTTATTTCTGTGTATCTTGCCAGAACCTCATATGGTAAACTGTTGCAGCTCCAACTGTAGCCCTCTACAATGATTTACACAAGTTGATGATCGTATCCTGAGTTTGCTTTTGCTTTCCCATAAGTTAGCAGATATTAAAGAGGAATTCTGAAGAACTGGAAGTAGACAGGCTATTTATTTATAATACAGTGTATAATAGAGCGAGTTACTTTTATTACCTGGTGAAGAACAAGGTATATGAATCAACCACACTCATGTTAAATGCAGTGTTGATAACAAACCAGATAAAGCACTACAATTTTAGCTCACTATGACTCTTAAAAAGAAGTCACAATCAACACGATTCTCTTGCTTTAAATGTGGCAGATGAAGAAAAATGCAGTTACTGTAAAACTTAGCTTTCAAACAACTGCAGGCATTAGGGATCACTGAGCTCTAAAATACTAGCACGAAAATAAGAAAACTGTATTTTTCAGTGAAAAAAATTAATAAATACATATAATTGAAGTATTACAGTACCCTATACATTTCAGAGTGCACATATGCACACGGATAAAAAATATCAAAACTTTTCAGTTAACCAAGCTTTTTTCCCCAAAGATAGCAATGCTACCCTACTACTCCAGGGCAAAAGAAAAATTAATATCTTGCCAAACTAAAAATATAGGATAGAGACAACATTATCTCTAAATCACTAGGATACCTCTGTATGTCTAAAAGCAAAAAACTTGTAATTCAGCTTAGGGAAAGCAGACTGCATGAAGCTACTTTTGTACCTCACTGAGCCTGTGCTGCTCCAGGAGCAGAACAACTCATCACAAAAGAGCTTGTGTAGAGGGCTACATAAATTACATCAGCTAGTTCCCACCTGCTTGGGCATTGACTTACTGCTAAGAATCTCCAAAGTACAGTGGAGCCATCATCTTTAAACAAGACTTACCTGTGGAAAGTCAACATCTGCAGATACAACCTGCCATCTGTATCTAACTGCATAATATTAATTAGGGCATAATGAGAAGATGAGGTTTAAGAGCATAAAATTTGAACTCAGATTAAGGTTCAGTCAACCAAAACTCCTCCTGTGTCTGTTACAAAATTAATCATCAGAACTGCAGCAACAAGAAAGGACTGAAAGTTTTTGCAAAGGTAGGACTCTGCAAAGAAAGTTTATACCAACCAGTTCTATAGGCCATTTTTCTATGCCTTCAGCAGCTGCTGTAACAAAAGCCTGATCTTTGTTACGTGCTGGTGATGAGGGGACAGGCTGACGCATGCTAAAGTCTTTACCACCTCCAGGCCAGGAGTTCTGAGTATCTGCCTAAAACAAAAATATTAACACTTCAGTTATAATTATGTAGGCTGTTTTTTTAAACAAATGCTACTTATGCAAGTATTGAATCTTACAAATTTCAGTAGAATATAAGAACCAATAAACAAGTCAATTAGGTTAGCAACCTATGATAATGATGTTACCCAAGGAAATCCATGTTTGCAAATTCTCATTAAATTTTGACTAAAATTCAGTTTGCAGACAACCATTTGTATATCCTTCCATAAAAAGAATCAGGTCAGGTGCCTGAGCACTGATTAAAAGGACAAAAAATAAAAACCTACCGAGGCATCTAGAAGAGTTTGTTCTCTCAATGTGTATTCTGCAGTTAAGAATTTCAGTTTCTGATGGAGTTCCTCATTTTCAAGTACAACTGCTTGTACTCGATCTTTCATCCCAGACAACTCCTCCTATAGTATAAAGGGTCAGCATGTAAAAGGCTCCTTGAGACAGCTATCGACATTGGAATACATCTTGAGACCCAAAGTCTAGATTAACATTCTCAACTATTTTAACCCTTTTAGAGGAAGTAAGAATATTCAAAACATAGATGGTATTTTTGCAGCTTGAATTCCCATGTAACTGCTTAAAAAAAAAAAAAAAGCTTATTTGTATTTGTATTAGGACATAAAAATGCCCTAAATACCCTTAAACACCAGACACTAAGACACATGGTAAGGGATCTACCGAATTGCATTTGGTTCAGTTTGGGTCATTACAACAGGCAATCTAAAGTCAAAGTTAAGCTGCTTTTAAAGCAGTTATTCATATTTGGGGGATCAGGGTTTTAATAGGTCAAATATGTTGTCTGATACCTTGCAAAACTTCACTTCTGTTTCCAAATGGTTAATGTACTGTGATTGATCATTGATTATAGGAATGAGATCAGAAAGGGCTGGTGATTCTCCAGGTACAGCTTCTGGGGGTTTCTGAAGGAAATAAAGAATAGTATGTGTTATTTTCCAGTTTTCCATTTATTGCAATAAGACATTGCTTGCATAAAGAATACAATGTACACTTTTCTGGTATGGATTCAAAATGCACACAGAGCTGTTAATGGAATCCTCTCAGAGGAACAACAGGTACATTTCTAGCATTAATTCATGATTCTGGATGAAAACAAGCATCTTTATGCCAATCCCTACCTCGTTTGAAACTGATACAATCCTAACATCTGTGATCTCAGGTCAGAAACATATCTTTTTGTCCAAAAATATTCCATATTCTTAAATATAATTAAAAACTTGAAGATCATAGAACTCATTTTCAGGAACTCATGAGGTATCTGGAACTATGATTGGGGAGAGAAATGGAGTATATCTAGAACCATTTGGAAAAACATTTAGAGAAGGAACTCCAAATTTGCAACGTATTCCACCCGGCTCAGTGCATGTAAGTCCCATGTTCCATTAACTCAGAATTCACCTTGATTTAAAGTCTGTTAATATTAACTACTTCATAAATTTTAAAAGAAACGAACCACACTTGTTAAAGTATATATAATATAGCCCTGATAATACTTGTCACTCATCTTTCTACTTCTCTGGCTTCTATTCATCCCTCCCTCTTCTCTGAAAGTGGAATGAACACCTTGCAGCTGACACCTCCAGCTGCCTCCCTGAAAAGATTACACCACAGCAGTGCTGGGAAACATTTTTCTACAAATTATTTTTCACTGAAAACCAGTGCTAATGTTTAACCTGAGAAACATCAGTGTACTGTAAACAATACTGGTAAGAAATGGTTTCACTAAAAAGAAAATAACATGTAGTATATTTTCCCAGTATAAAGAGAGCATCTCTTTGTGACTTTTTTTTTAACCTTTTTTACAAGGTAATTGTTATGAATTGATTTGAAATTATTCGGGATTTTTTAATTAATGTTCTGATAATGTAACATATTATAGGATAAAAGAACAATGGTCAGGGGAGGCATATATTTAAATTAGGCTGAACATTAAAATCAGAACTGAAAGACACATATGATCAGTATGAATTACCAAACATTTATGCCTGAGTCTCAGAAATCCTGTTCACATTTGCATACTTAATATTAAAAAGGATTTATAAAATATAAATGTTTAGCAGCTTTAAAAGCCAGCATTCTACACAGTGACAAAGTTTTGCCAACATCAAAAATAATTTGGCCCACCTTGTACTTTTCCCGAATGCCCCAAATTTCAAACATCTAATCCACAGAATTAGAGAAACTCTGCCACCCTGTAAACTGGCAAGAAACAAAAGGAATCCATCACAGAAACTCCAGCTATAACAGCAGCTTCAGGAACAGCTAGGTTAACCAAAACTCAGCCTGCAGAACTACATTTGTTGTACAAAGCAACTGTGCTGGTCCTTGACCTCAGGTGGAAAAATGTAGAGCAAAAGGAAAATTTCCACCCAACTGTTTGGATGTAATCAACAAAAAGATGAACTCATTTGATGTCTATTGCAACTCTTATCAATGAGAAAGAAAAGGGAATTTTATTAAGACAATGTAATTTATATGTATGAAGTGTGGTAAAGGTTACTAAACAGTATACTTTCTGTGAAATATTATAGTTAGCTACAGATCATGCAATCATACAGTATTCAGTAGCCATCAGGTATTTCAGTGTAACTCAAAGCAAAATGTTAAGGTTATTGATAATCTAAGTTTGCTTTCCTTGAACTGTGGGGAACTGGGTTCTTCTTATACAAGAAGCATTTCTGTAGTGTCCAGTAAATCACCAGAGAAGCTCGTATTTTATAAGGGTTTGGGATTTTTTTGGTGTGTGCACGCTTTCGCACTTTCACATTTTTTTGAACTTTACACTTCGTCTGTCTTCAGAACACTTTCACATCCAACCTAGCAAGCAGGTAGAGAACAGCTGCAAAGGAGAATAAGGATACCACTTCACAGAATGCCTCTTACTGGAAACTTCAAGAGGAAGAAATAAGACAATGCCCTACCAATACAGTATATTCCCATTTTTTCCTCTGTTTATTCATCCATTCTTTAACCCACTCCCTGAAAGCACTAGCCCATGTTCCTTAAATAAAAGTATTCCGTTTTCTGAATTTTCCACTCTACTAAAACTTCCCAATACAAGTAGAAAACTTGACCAAAGGTGGAATAAAAGATTGTTTCCCTCCCCTCCCAGGCTAAATACAAACGGATACTGATTCACATCATGCCAAGGTCAACCAACCAACATTCCCTTGAGCTACAAAACACTAACTCTTTCCTATGCCATTATGAGGCAAAACACCTGTCAGGACAACCATATTAAACTCATGAATTTTAGAACATTCAGAGAAGTTAACTTTAAATCACATTTCTCAGGGTCAAGACAGTAGGGCTAGGCTCTTTACACAGGCTGACAGCAACACAGCAGGAACACAGCCTTTAGATTATTCTGCTGTTACCTCAACTTTGACAGCAAAGAGCTGCTTGTCTTGCCTAGTATAAACCAACAGTAGCCAGTGAAGGCCGTCAAAAGATAAAACTGTAACATCTTTGAATTATTTTCCCATAGAGATGCTATTGACTAGCAGCTGCTCTGTAACTAAATTGTGCACTCCACATACTTCTGTGTAGTTCTGCTGCAAGAAAGCAGAACCTAGAAGCCCTTGTAAGGGTATAAACAAAATTACACAGAAAGCACTGCATTTCTTACATGAACACTTCTAATCCTTTAAAGAAAAAGCATAGTTGCAGCATAAGAAGGCCATTGAGAATCCTTGAGGTACAGTCAAAGGAAAACAGAGGCTGCTTTTACAGAAATTTTTCTACATTGTTTATCCCAACTGTTTCCAAAACAAAAAGGACGAATAACCCACACTGCATGATCAACAAAAAAGGAGAAAAGTCTAACCCTGTATTATAGATTCCTTTTTCTTTCACTGTGGTCATAAGCATACAAAGGTCTGGCCATAGCATCCTCAATCTCCTGTATTTAAGAACATAAAAACGATTCAATGCTTCTTTTTCTCCCTGTATGCTATAAAAGTGTTCTCAACATGTATGCCATTCATTCAAACAACACAAAGGAAAGCAGAAGAAACATACACAGAATGATGACTTCCTTCTTGATGGAGAGACTTCAATTTCCATTCTCTCTTGATGTTGCAGCAAAATTTTAAGTTGATTAACTAGGAAGAGACAAAAAAACCCCCACCATTATAACAAAACATAATTACTTTTTTCAAATAAATTAGTTTAATTTCTAAAAATTATTAAATCATTTGCTTTCAGGGTAATCTTACCTGCATGACTGTGCTGCAGTTCCTGCCTGGCCGCATTCCCACAGTCATCATTTTCCCCATCTGCATCATCAGTGCCCTCGTCCACAGAGGACTGGTCAAATCCAATGTCATCCTCACCCTTTGCCAAGGCATATTTCAGTTGATGGATGCTTTCAGTAGCACGTTCTGAAAATAAAAAAAAAAAGTAATCACATCATTAGCCACAATAAGCAACATAAAAGAAAGTATTTACTGACTGATATTTTAATTGGAAAAAACATGAGAGAACTAAAAGCTTTCAGCATGTGTCTAGCTTGACTACTTGACCTAAACTCAGACATTGAAAGCAATTTCCTAATTCAAACAGCCAAAACAACTGCTATATTTACAAAATACTTGCTAAATATTTACTAAATATTCAAAGACACAGCTATAAATAGCATCTTAGCCCCTCAACACATTAGGATTCTGCAGCAGCACAAATAATAATATACCCAACCCTAAAACATTTCCTAACATACACACTTTTTGTACTTTTCAATGAACCTAAAGCTCATGCTATATTTTATACAACATGGAGGAGTCAGAACCAGGAACAATATTTTTGCTTTCTAATGATGCCACCACACATTACAAAGCAATGTATCACACAACAAAACAAATACCTAAGTATACAAAATAATAATTCAGCAAACTGAGCCAACATAAAACAGTTACTTAGTAAAGACTGATGACTTCTGAACAAGTGGGAAAAATAAATAACAACACTATTCTAGGAAAAAACCCCAAGACACAACAGAAAACTTCTTTCCAGATAAATACAAATATTTTCAAGAACTGACTTACTGACAGTAGTGGTCTTTTCTAATGTTCAGTATATTTTTTTCTTATATTTCTTTTTTAAGCTGACTTCACAAAAACCCAAAAATTTGCCAATCATAAATGCCATATCCCTCTGATACAGCTTAACATTTCCAATGTGCCAGAAAATAGATTTGAGAGATCTGTAGCTGAGAGATGACAATCAAACTGGAAGTCACAAAATGCGGGCTTGGTTTTAGATAATCATATGTATAGTTCACACCACAGGACCTCAGACAGCTCACTTATTACTTCTTTCTTTCAACTGCCTGTGTAGTTGGAAGATGAGTATTTCATTTCACTTCCCTTTAAGCAATGTATTATACTAACTAGAAAAGACAGAGTAGTAACCTAAGTAGTATGGCTTCATGCAATGTTCAGCAAAGCAGGATCTGCTGTAGTACCAAGTGAACCAAGAAAATGACCTGTACATCAGTCACGGAGGGTACACACTTGGCGAGACAGTCCTCCAACAAAATTCACAGTCACTTTATCAGGAATACAGGAAGACATGTTTCTTTTACATTTCTCCTAAGTAATGTCACAGTCACGTACGACTACCAGGCAAAACTACACTAAATCAGAAAAGTTCCATTAATAGTTAACTGTTACTAATTTAAAACAAAACAAAAACCCACACTCTCAAAACCTCACTTGACTTTCAGAAACATAAAATCATAGCCATTTTCTTCATTTAGCCCTAAATTCTTTGGAGGGCTATTCTCCCCTAAGACTATCATACATGAAACATTTAGATATAAGTGCCCACAGAACAGGAATTTAATTCTTGTGAGCCAAGTTTATAAGGTAACATCTTCTACTGGAGCAACTGCTACATCTAGAAAATTGGTAACCTTTGCAACACACATCCTTAACTTGTTTTTACATGCTTGTAATTTCTAAATTGATATGATGCATAAGTAACTGAAAATATATTTTTGTCACTGGCAAAAAAAAGTTTAAACAAATAAGCACAGTTCATTTGTTATTCTATCTATTTGTTAGATAGAATTCAGAAGACATGCCTCAGAGTATAACATATGTTGCTGGTTACAAATATTAATAGCTCCTTTCTTCCAAAGGGAAAGGTAAATAGCAGTTCAAGTCAGAAAACAAAAGCTAGATATGTATTTCTGCCTTCACTTTATCTATCAAGTTCACATCATCCTGACTGAAGCTTGGAAATTGATTTTTTTGCCCACTCTAATGATTCTCTCTACTTTTTCGGTCTTCTTCTCTGCTTGGTTGTAACTTACCAACAGCTTATAAAATATAAATAACCCCCCAAAAAGCATTATATTTAAGAACATGGTTCTCAGTCCAGTATGCTAACCATCACTCTCCTTTTAGCAATGCAAATTTTTAATAAAAACCTGACCAATTTTTTACCTATTAATCTTCTCTCAGCATTTATTTTTAAAGTCCAGTAATCTTGTGGCTGACATCATGTCAGTTGATTTTCGGGTACTTCATCCTTTAATAAATTTAATGCAAAAGAAGACATAAAAGGCACATTTCAAACAGTCATAATTTAGTGTAACAAACCCCCAACACAGTTCACAAGGCAATGACTCAAAAAAGAGGGGTTTAGGTCAAATATTTCTCCTTTGGCATATTTGCGCTATTCATCCTTTCTTAAGCATTCCAAGATGCTATGAGGGTGGGAGGGCTAATTGAGAAATGCCAGAAGTATCTCACTGATGCAATGGCTTAGATATTTAGCAAACTATGTTGCAACTAGTTGTTGCCAAGAAATGTTCAATGTCATATTTTGTGGTGTGTTATCTGATAGCAATAAAGTTCCTTCATTTCCCTATTCACTGTAGATGTCTGTCAGAGAACCTGAGTATCAATATTTGCTCCACAGCCAGTGACAAACAACAATACAAATCAAACCCATATATATCAAACCCATCAAAACTAAACAAACCCATATATATTGGTTTTTCCCAAACTTCTCTTTGTCTTTGTAATATCAAAGCTTTTGAACTCAAAGGTAGTACTTGATCCACAAAGATAACATAGATCTTCTTACACTATGTACTCTTCTCCCATAAAATATACAGGGCAGTCAGTAACAGTGAAACACATTAAAACCATTATCAATGGGACACTGATGTCTATTTTTTTTTTTTTGACTACTCTTTCCTGCCTCTGGAATAATGTCACCACATTCTTGAAAGCTTTATCAAGTATTTGCTTAAATGTCTTAAAAGCTTGCCTATTTCCAAATCACAAATGTTGCTGCCATAAGCAAACCACTCGCCACTGAGAAACTGGGAGTTAGGAGTTCATGATGGTGTGGTTTTACATACAACAAAGAAGACTGGAACTGGATGTGTAAAAGGGAAGAAGTACATTAAAGCACTTTTTTTTCCAAAGTAAGGGATGCATCATTGAGTGGAAAGGTTATGTTTGTTGTTTCTGCCAATGTAAAAACATTCTTTTCAAATATGAAAGAAATTGAAAAAACCTCTGTGGATGAAAACTACTGGACACCAAAGAACCTTTGCTTAAAGACAATATGATAATTTTTAATTAATTTAGAAGTAATTAATTTTTATGTGCTCCCACAGTCAACTTAACTTTTTCATTTAGGCTACTCCTGTAAAACTACGTTTTACAGAAATAGGACCTCAGTAAAAACATACTGCAGAAAACTGCTCACATGCAGTCCTACGATTCACATATCAAAATCAATCAGCATCTTTCTTTTCTACATCTTAACAAGACTCTACAAATGAAATCCAAACATGTATTCCTGTTCTATGATAAAACATCATTGATGTGCTATTTTCTATAGGAACAGCTGAGGATATAATAGAAATTGGACTCATGTGGGTCAAAACTTAAAAAAACCCACTTGTTTCTTTAAAACTCTTTGGTTTTCAGTGTTTAAAGGATCTGAGACAATTATGAAAAATGGCAAGCTAGCACCCAAATCTGAGGGATCAAACTCAATACATTAAAAAAAACCCCAAAACCAATTGCTCCATAAAAATGCTATCAAGTTGTCAACTATCATATATGAATCCCAGGCAGTACGTGCCACAATGGACAGGCAGACAACTTATCTAACACCTTAGTAATATATAGAAAGAAATATATTACTGCTTATTATTTCAGAGACAGAAGCAACCAGCAATCCTAATCCAAGATCAAGGCCTATTATTCCGGGTACAAAGATATTCCTACTCCTCAATTCATCTAAACTTGAATGCAACTCTGGACTAGATTAAGTTCAGTTAAGCATAATGCTTTAGACAAAACCAATAGAGCCATGACTGAAACATTAATTAATCTTCAAAAACAACATGACATATTCTACATGATGAATAAAGATACTTCTCTGCCCTAAAAGAAACATTGATAACTACGGTTATTTTCTGTACTCATTGTAACTACAAAATCTAAGTATTATGCCCTGAAAATATAATATAGGTATCCTTTTTCCATAGAAGTATCTTTGTATAAATATAAATGGCAGATTTTTTTTAATATAGGAATGTCAATCCTACTACTGAACAACATTTTTTTACATTGGAGGTACAGTAAAGATACACTCAACTTGTCAAAAAAAAAAAAAAAAGAAGACAGAAGATAAAGTCAGGAAACTCTGAAGTAAAATACAACATGAAGAGGTAGCTGTTATCTCCAAAGTAGTAATCAGCTTGGGGGGAAACAAAAATACTCTAAAAAAAGAATTAAAATAAAAATCAGTGTAAGAATAATTTGCCGCTGAAGTGAAAACAGAAAAAAAAACAGAGAAGGCATTGAACCGGGTTAGCATTGCCTGAACAAGAGATGTTTTTTCAGACACTGCACAAGACTGCTTATAAAGAGTACTCCTTTAAATGAAAGCACCAAAGTTACCTCATTCATGAACTCGGAAATGCCATAGAAAATACTCTGGGAGCTAATGGAGAGTTTAGCAAAGGAACCAACCATCCAAAACAACAGAATTGCCTGAAAGACATGGAAAATAACTCCAGCTGGTAGAAGCATTAAGCAGCATAAATTAAAGAAAACAAACTACAACTGTATGAAAAAGTTGCCATAAGTCTGTCATCTAAAGCTGACAGTCCAGTTCTAGTAATGTTTACAGGAACATGAAGTTACTGGCTATAAATTCAAAAAACAGCTTCGCTTTGTGATATCTCAATCAGAAAATGGTCTTAGAAAGTCAAAGAAGAAGGAATTACACCAATTCTTTAGGTCTTAAAAAAAATTATAAACTTATGTGAAACAGTTAACTGACAAAACAGACAATTAGACAAGTTAGTGAAAACACAAAGATTATGACCATTTAAAGAAAACTTTCCTGTGCAAAAGTATATCAACTTTTACTTAGTTTCTATTGACAGTTAAAAATCTAAAATTGTACATCATGTACCTCTTCTGAGATAGCACTTCAGCCAACTGCTGAAAAATACTGAAACAGTGAATTTGCTTGTAAGTGTTTTTTTGGTTTTTTTTCCATCCTGGAATTTACTTATCATTCTGACACGCAGCTATTCTTCTTCATTGGCTGCCAAACACAGGCATGCTACCATGCTAGGTAACATACTATATGGCAATTTTGAGACTAAAAGGATCCTATCAATTACTACCTGTGCTGTTAGGATATTACATGCAACAATGAGCAACACCAGGCTGTTCATTAGCTAGGCCTCAAAAAGTCCCAAGATGAGTGTAATGCTCAGATATTTCAAAATAATGAATCCTTTTAATTTGGTTTCTTGGACTTCATTGTTGCTTTGCATTATATGAGAACTAGGTGGTTTTTCAACACAGTTTTACCAAATTACCACCTTTAAGAGAAAAGTGTTCTCTGGAAAAGTGTTCTCTGGAGCTGCAGTATTCATTGTCATGAGTTCCTAAACCAGCACTTGCCTAAGGTATAGAAACCCTCATGTGTGAAAGACTCCCAAGCATTTCCCAGTTCCTTCTGCCAGATTCTCCACCCTTAAATGAACATTTTATGTTCAGAAGACTTAGAAACAACTACCTAATAAAAATAAAAAGCCTAAGCAAAAAACTTTGCAATTATAGATTACTATTTAGAGTGTAACTCTTGGCTGGTTCAGTGTCACAGCTAACTTGGAGAGATGGTAACTGGGCCACATGCCCATTTTTCCTAAGATGACTTTGCCTTCGCATCTCTCCTGCTTTATTTTTGGAGTCGCATAAAGCAGCCACAACATAAAAGTTTATTTGTAGAAGTCCTATATTTTCATCAGTTCCTCTTACAATTTGCATCTTTGTTCTCTGAAATTACATAGGATACCGTACTCAGTAACACAGTGGAATACAGAACACAATTTCCACAATTTTTTAGGGCAGATTTACAAGATGACTGTACCTAAAAGGGAAGGTCTGCCCCTCCTCTTATACTGTCTCTGGCCCAACAGCGAGCCAGTGCTCTTTACTGAAGAGGCAGAAAACTCAGCATAAAAAATAAGTTAAATGTTCTCTATTTGAGGAACCAGAAAAATGCTAGAAAAAAAGAAGTGGGCTCTACATGGTCTTCTCCATTTAATTCTGCTGGGAGAAAACTAGAAAGTAACAGAAAGGCATCACACCCTGCTCTTGGCAGCGGTGTAGTAGAAGGCCCATTGTACATTCACATTATGCCTGTAAATTTTTAGTTATTAATATGAATACTATAGCACACCATTTTCTTTCCTTTACAAAATACCTCTACTCCCTTGAGAATAACTTTTTATTAGAAATGTTATTATCTCCTAAAGTTTTTAAGGTTCTTTTGGAATGATCTCAACTGTGTGAAAGTTAACACAGTAACCTAATAACCCCAGCTGTAAAAACACCACCCTCTTAACTCATTACTACACACAGCGTTACAGACTTTCATTATACAAGGTCTACACTATTTAGAAAAAGCTGCATTATAGAATCTTTGTTATTTTATCAAAGTCACTCTGTTGGGTTCTAAGATCAGTCAGGTCTTAATCAGATTTTTTGGTCCAGCTTTCTGCCCTTTGGCCACAAGACACAGTTTACTGAACACTTGGGCTCCCTGTCTTCTGAGGGATTTCCCTTTGCAACAAAGGCACTGAAATAATCAATTGCTCTTTGAGAACTTATACACCCATCCCTCAAACTGAGTAAGGCTGTAAAATGATTCTTCTGGTGTCCAGCATGGGTGGTGACAACCTGTTGCCACGTGTCAGCCTGGGCCCAGATAATGTCAAGCATTACAGGCAGTTTAAGAACGCTGCTTTTTGAAACCATCAAATAACGCCCAAGGTATGCCACCTGAAATTTCAGAATCCAGATGACAGGAACAATAGCAGTGCGAAGAAGAATCTCAAGCTGTACAACTATATAAGAAAAATAGGTAAAGAATCAGATTTAACCACTTTGAGAGTCATCATCATGGCTAGGCTTTGTGAACAAAGATTTGGGAAAGCTCTATCCACATTTGTTACAGACACGCTGGTGGCTTATGAGGCCAATAGGAGACAGACTTTGAGAGTAACAGTGATCTGTTTGTCCTACAGTAAATTTCTAACAGTGATGATGTGAAAAATGCTGCACAGCTCAAAGGAGTTAAAATTGCATATCACTGAGAAATAAAGAGGTTCTTTGAGAAAGATAATGGAACTTAGGTTATCACCGTGCAGTGGGGTTATGTTTGCAACACCTGAGTGATTTCTACTGAAAGGCAACCCTAGATGTATGAAATCAAACCTATCTTGGCATTGTTTAAAAAAAAAGTCCTTGTTTTCAAGAATGTAAAGGGAAACAGATCACCAGAAGTTCAGGTGCTGAAATTATTTAACAAACATAATGGATCCAGCGTAAAGGGATCCAGTTAAAGATTAAATGCAAATAAGTTGTATGAACAGAATACATGTCCAACCATTAGATATGATGAGCTCTAATAGTAGTCTTACACACAGTTGAACAGCCTTGATAATCGTCATTTTAGCTGTTCCACCTGCAAGTGTCAAGCAGCATTACCACCCTGCCCACTTCATCAACAGGTGAAGTAAATAGAAATTATTCTTCAAATTTCTATCTTCTGGAACAAATGAAACATATCTTCCACAGAAAGAACTGATGCTATTTCAAGAACTTGCTAAGAATCGAATAGTTATTGAAAAATATAAATAGCATCACAACAGGTCGTGTGTGGGCACTGTGCCCAGAACACAACTTTTTGCGTCAAATGGGGTCACACCCACAAACTACCTAGAGGCTTTCGTCAGAATTTGGACACTTCCTCTGACTAGTCAGTGATTATCTGAAAGCCGGTAAAGCCCAGGTGTCACAGCTGAGAGACTGAAGTGTTCTTTGCCAGGGTATATACCTTGCTTCATGGACAAGGCGACTGGTACAAAAACAGTCAATGACGTGGGAAATAATCACTCCCATTATAATTAGTTCGTGC